TTGGAAGTCAATCAACATCAGAACATCAGCAAACCATTGATGAGATTTGATCAGGGGATTTCAGCACGGACGTGGCGATGAATTCTCTACAAGAAACACTCAAAATGATCGGCATCTGGGGCCTGTCTGGAAAACCAGCTGTCACACCCTGGGATTTTTTTGTTTATCTGGCGAAAGTTGATCCCAATATTTCTATCAACTATAGTTATATAGTATGTTCTAGTTGATTATGGGAAACTGGGAAGTTGGGTCTCCAATTTTTAGATTTAGCTGTCGGCGAAATAATATACCCATGATCCTCCCAGTTCCCGCAGGCCTGTTCCACAAGTATCAACCTCTGTTGGTAAATGATCATATTCTCCACAATGACGATCAAGTAGAGGTAAATGCTTCATTTTCAGACGCGGCTATAATATCATATATATATTCATATATGTATATATTCATTTATGTATTTATGTATTGTTTTATTTCTTTGTACAAAATATAAGCCATATACCTCTTGATTGAGTACTGCCCATTGCACCTCCAATTTTTTTGTGATCTCCCATGACATCCGCACCCTCTCCCCATTCATATTCCCAAATATCCCAATAACCCACTATAGTCACTATATCCCATGAATATCCCCATGAATATCCCCATTCATGATGCTTAATGCACAAGGAACAACTAACATAGATGTGGAAAAAACTACAGCCTTTCCGTTCGAAAAATGATCTACAAATGCGTGGCTAAAAACATATGGGTTCTCACATCGAAATGTTAGTTTACTCTTGTGTTTCATCCCCATTACTGGTAAACTAACACAACTATTAAAAAAAAAAAAAAACATCATTTTGAATAGGTTAGTAAATCAACTATCAATGGGGTATTTTTTCAATAGCTATGTTAAATTACCGGTATTTCTCAGGAAAATCTCCCCTTTTTAAACGCGCTGCCTGGTCTGGACTCCAGTGTTCACGCTTTTGCTGGCAGGTGATGCCACCTCAGCGCAGAGGAAATTCCGAGCACATGTGCATATGATATATATATATATATAATACAATCTAACATAACATCAGATGAGATAGGATCATGTCATATATGATGTAATATTATATAATATTAATATTATACCATATTTTATCATATTATATAACATTATATAATATTATATTATATGAATATGATATAAATAAATATAATATATAACAAACACACTGTTGTGGATACAGAGAGGTTGATTCTCACAACCCCATGATGATTTTCCATACAATTTGAAGCGGGCTTATAAAGGTGTCATTTCACACGGTGTTGGACAGACTTGGGGTATGCGTGACAGACTTGGGGTGTGTTCCAAGAGTATGCCCAATCATCTTAGAACATACTTTGATGTCGTCTCTATATAATTCTATATATATAATATTGTCGTGCACATGGTATGAATATTTAATCCTGCCAGCAAAAGTTCAAACCCACATTATGAATTTATCTCAAACTCAAAAACCAAAGATATTTGAATCAATTGAACTGACATCAACTGACCTATGAATTATTCATATAGGGCATGCAAACCCCAAGTTCATGAACCCCGAAGCCAGCACATCATATCCACAACGACCAGGATCACCGAAAGGAACCCCCTCTCCGAGACAAAGGGCTCCCGAAAAGGAGATCTCTGGCGCCTCGGGGATAGCTTCAACCTGGTCGCTTGGCCGTTTGATGCTGCTGGTCACCTGGGCCTTACCAATCCAGCTGCTGAAGTCATCCCTGGAAAGTTGGAAACGTATGGACAAGTTGAAAAATAGCCCAAACCACCAACCAGAGGGCTGTTGACGGTTGCATGAAATGCACTGAATTCCACATCGCAAGATCGATGATTTTCCCAAAATCGAATCTGCCATGTTGATGCTTTCAAGTTGTTGGACTGAAAACAACATCTGTCTTTTGCCTTGCCAGAAACATTCATGAAAAACAGCGAAAAAAAAAACGTGAATGTTGCACCTTCTTGATGAGGTTGTTTCTTGAGTATCTCAACTGGGGGTTGGAACACCATCTTCCAAGAGGATCAAAATCATCTGTTTCCCCCTTTTTTTTAGGACAAGCCTGCGACGCGATATTGGATACCTTATTCTGGGCCCCGAAATTATTTTGGGGGATTTGGAGTCAATCCTTCAAACTAATTAATAGTTAATATCTCATTAATAGTGGTTAATATCCCATTAATCCATTAATAGTGGTTAATATCCCTTAAAATGTCCACTTCAACTTGCGCCAATCCCTCAAATCCTAAGGCTTTCGTTACGCCATCCTCGTCTGGGGGAAACCAAGGGCGTCCTTCTCAGTGCCATCTGGATCTGGTGAAGGCCAAACAGAAAGTGCCTGGCGAACCGCAAACAGCCATTTTTGGGAGAGTTATTCATGATTTAATGACCATAATAAACATTAAAATCATTAATTGCCCAATAATAATGTTTATTTAATCCCTATTGATTTAATATGATTTGAATTTAATGGGTAATTATAACATACTATAACTGACCATGCTTATGACATGATCCTCCTAAGTTGGGATACATCTCCCATGCTATACTCATTCGACCCCTAGAACTTCGGTGAAGCTCTGTCAGGTTGGACTGGTCAGTTGTGGAATGCCAAAACCCCTTGTTTTAATATGGGAAAATGATGGGTTTAACAATGGTTAATGATGGTTAATAGTGGATTATCTGGTGGATTATATTATATATATATATGGTTGGTGGTGCAATACCCATCTTGAAAAATATATAAAAATATGAGGTCGTCAATGTGAAGGATGACATCCCAGATATTACAATTGTTTTTTCGAAGGTTTGAAACCACCAACCAGCAATTGGCCTATTGAAATTGCCAATGGCTAGTGGTTGATTCCGTGTGTTGTTGGATACATCCCATGATACCTCCATAAATTGCTAGCGGTTATGATTGCTTAAATATCCAAATGTACCCACTGTTTTGCTTATATAACATACATATCATATCACTAGTTGATAATTATCCCTGTTTATGTTACTTGCATCCCTAGTTCTGCTGATTTTATTTCAGAGATCATATCCCATTTGTTCGTGACCATTCCTCCCATTATATTCCGAATAATCTCCTGATTTATGTTCCCCATATCCCCAATTGCATCCACTTATCCCCAATTTTTGGGTCACCCTCTGGCAACAGTTTGCTATAGTAGCCATGGAGGATTTAGTTCGATGATTTACCTATCTAAAATGGGTGATTTCCGTAGCAAATTGTTGGATCACCAGAGGGTACCCATTCAGCCCATCAGATTTTGGTCATAATAGATATATGATATATCCACCCTAAATCCTGGTTATTATAGTTGTATGTATTCTATGGAGGTTTCCTGACATGGGGGTACCCTCAAATCATTCATGTTCCATAACAAAACCATCCAGCTATTGGGGTTCCCCCCATGGACTAAGAAACCCCCGAAATGGGATTTATGATGGTTGATGATGATGTTGTTTTTGAAAATTTGTGGCGATTGATGCTTATATTCTCATCATATCTACCATTTGTGTGCCTTCAGGGACCAAGCTTGACCAGGTCCCGGCGTTGGCCTTAGCAACAAGGCAGGAGCAAACAAATGGGTGATCCAGCAGATAATGGCGATTTATCAGTATCAGTATCAGTTTCAGCATCAGTATCAGTATCAGTATCATCATCATCATCATCGTCATCATCATCATCATCACCATCATCATCATCACCATCGTCATCATCATCATCATCACCATCACCATCATCATCATCACCATCTTCATCATCATCATCATCATCACCATCATCATCATCACCATCATCATCACCATCGTCATCATCATCATCACCATCATCATCATCACCATCATCATCACCATCGTCGTCATCATCATCATCATCACCATCATCATCATCACCATCATCATCACCATCGTCATCATCATCATCATCATCATCATCATCATCATCACCATCATGATCATGACCATCACCATCACCACCATCACCGCCACCACCACCACCACCGTCATCGTCATCATCGTCATCATCGCCATCATCGCCATCATCGTCATCATCGTCGTCATCATCATCATCATCATCATCGTCATCATCATCATAATCATCATAATCATCATAATCATCATGTGATTAGTATCATTACTACTCCATTGTAATGTTTATTAGCATTGTTCTTGGATCTGTATTTCTCGTTGAATCATCAGATATTGCACGCAATATACAAATCGCCAATAAACCTGAAAAAATGGAAACGAGAGTGGTCTAATGGATGTAATTAATCCGCAACAAGTACCAGGCTCTGTTGTGTCCATCCAAAAATGCCCGGATTTCAGACCCACCACTTTAGGAAATCCACATATAGGAAGGGTAATGACTGGAACTGGTGGATCTTGACTTCTCCAAGTGCCAGACACAGTTGGCGTGGCCGCTGTTCGTGTCATCACTTTGCATTTCTCACAGCTTTGTCTGGTACCGATGGATGTGTGATGTTTGCGGTTTCAATGAATCGCCAATAGACTTTGGGGGTCTACGCGGTAACAACCCCGAGAAATCTTACGGGATGAAATCTAACAGCTGATTCCAGACCCCCAGCGCATTATGATTTCAGCGTGAATGCCCCAAATATCCCCAACATACAACGATCATTGGAAGTCATGGCCGCAACTTTTTTCAAATTCATCTGCTGGGTGCTGAAAATTGATCTCTCCATTGATGCTCACCGCAACCGACAGCACTGGAATACTTATATCAAAAAATAGTTCTTTCATATCTGGGCCCCCGTGGGCTTAGCCAAAGACAGCCACAGCATGATTCAACTGGCTGGACATGAATCACGGCATTGCCAAACTGCATGGCGACCTTTTGCCTCCAGAAGAATTGGAAGGTGTTCACATGATTTCAGATGACTGACGGGAGATACGCAAAAATCACCGTAGGGGAGAACATGTCTAGCACGGGCACCATTTCTTTGCTCCCAGCTGCTCCCATTCTTCGAAGTTCTATAAAGCAGAGCTTCAAATTTCACCTTGAAACTCAGCCCCAGCGACCCACTACTCTCCGTTCTACCGTGGATTTTTCCACTTCCAAACCCTGCTGCATCGCAGGGTTTGAGTTCTGTCAAAATCATCCTCCACCAGGCAGCTTGCCGACAACAGGTGTCGTTTCCTGCGAGAAAGTGTCAAAAAAATAATTGCACCCAGCGGGAATTTAAAATGGCAACGAATGTTTTCCCTTTTTATCAGAAAATCATGCAATAATTGCAATACGATCCATAACCAGGGACCAAGACGTTAGATTGCCAGAGGGTATCAACAGTGTTTTGGGACAAAAGCCTTCAAAAACCTTTCTCATGTACAAATGACCAAAAATTGTCGTCATCATCAACATGAACATCATGAACGCCAACATCACAAGAATCTCATCACCATCATCATCGTCATCGTCACTGTCGTCATCATCATCATCGTCATCATCATCATCATGATGATGATCATCATCATGATCATCGACATATAGAAGTTGCCCTCTCCGCAAAACCCGGCCTCAGACCGGTTCTTGGGCTTTGGCGGCGGGCGCCTCAGGGATATCTAAAGTCACAGGGAGATATACCCAGGAAATCCCAGGAAACAGTCCATTTTTTTGGCATTTCGGGGGATGTTACTGGATGTCATTGTTTCGCAAATCTGAAACAGCTGTTTTTTTTAATGACTCCCTGGGGTCATTTGTGAACCACAGACTTCATCCCGAATCCCTACACTTCCTGCCAGGTCTGGTCAGATCCACCTGTGAGACTTTGTCAAGCCCCATCCAGCACTTGGCAAAATTGGGTGAAACTAAGGAATCCATCTATCAACCATATATCTACCATACATCCACCATATATCTACCATATATCAACCATATATCTACCATATATCAACCACATATCTACCATACATCTACCATATATCTACCATATATCAACCAGATTGGGTTGTATATCTCACATATCAATCATATAATAACCATATATCTACGTACTGCAATCGAACAGTCTCATCTGGCTGTTGGAAAATCGTGGGAGGCCGGACTTCGGTTTGGGAGGGATCGGCCTGGCGTGAAGCCGTGGTGGGATCTGGGCAAATCATCAGATGAGGTATGATTAAACCATCATATCCTAGCAAGAATTTGTAATATATATTATATATATAGTATGTGTATATTATATACAACATTATACAACTACACATATCGGCATCGGCGTCATTCTTATCATATGATATCAATGATATCATTATCATCATCGCAATGAATATCATGTTTTAAAAAGTGATTACAAATAGTTGCTGATAATGGTAATGCTGATGACAACGATAAGATATTCTTAAAAAATGATAATGACAATGATAATGATAATATGAAACCCTTGACGATTAGTTTCCTATTATTGGATAATCATCATCATTATCCCTGGCAGCCTTACGACAAATTATCATTACAGTACATCATATAATCCTAAAGATGGGAATTGGGTTACTTATCATCACTAATGGTGATAACAATGTTGACAACTGATAATGAAAATAACGATGACAATGTCCAAGCCTTATGCCCGCACAATTCATGCATAGATCTAACACTATGCCGGGGTTTTGTTTGGGGGTATTGAACATTACGGGGAAGGGGTATACTTATGACAATGGTGGTGATAAAAATAATTACAATAAGAATGATACTGATAATTACGACACTGGCAACGCTTCCTAAACTGGGCGTAGGCCATTCTTGCGCCGGTTTTTCGTTGATAAACCATCATCCATGGTCTAAGGTTCTTGTGGGATCCCTGATTTTTTCCACATTTGGTCCCATCTCCTGCTGGTACCTTTCCTCCGAAGCCAGTGGTTGCGTATTGTGATCCGACATGATCGTGGGGGATTGACGCGAGGTTGCGGTGCATTGGGGAAAACTATGAAAAACTACATGTATCAAGAGTGCTTTTTTGGTTCCATCCATCTGAAATGTTATGAATAAAAGCGGTTACTAATCAGAAGTTGGGTACAGTGAAACCACTGTTTAAGAACCTGCCGCAATAAGAACTTCAGGGGCTGGATTGCTGGAGTCAACCCTTTCTGTCAGCTAATTGAAAAAAGAACCCTAGGGTACCTTGGAATTCTAGCCCCTGGTTCTTATTCCCCTTTAACGGGTAAAAATATACCAAACATTGATTATTAGCAGCCATTTCCCAAAAGAAACATTATGACAAACATGGTGCGGCCCCAGGTACAATCCACGCAGAACCTCTGTTGAATATGTCCACGGGTAGCAAGTACCCTATGAGAGGTGGAGCAGACAAGCTGATGGTACGTGGCTTGATTTAGTACCTCAAACACCAGATCAATCCATCTATTTTCATCAACCTACCTGGCAGAGACGACAGAATGAGCTGTACCTCTACGGATACACTGTCAGAATGGGACTTTGAAAACTAGCAGATCACCAGCAAAAACAATATCCTCTTTGCGGCATTTTTGAGAACATCATGAGCCGTTATTACGGCCAGCAGTAGTATCTTCATTTTTCTACGGACACGTTTCACTGCAGAGCATAATATAAGCTGAGCGTTTCTTATGCATGTTTAAAAGTTTTGCTGCATGCTACGACACGAAGAAAATTTGTGTCTGTTTTGTAACCTACTTTTGGGGACGTGTCTACACAATGCATTACAGTTTGCATCTCATGTGACATGATTTCAAGTCATACATGTACCACTGCGCCACTCCGTGGCTCAAGACGTGCTAGCATACCAGGTAAAAGAGTGCCGTGTTGCGCTGGTTGACCACAAGTGTTACAACTCTTTAGTTGGGATCTAGGGCCCCCTGAATACCGGGGATTGCTACCTCACCCACCCCACCTCACCCCACCCCACCCCACCCCATCTCGAGCGTGGCATCACGTCAGTGCGCAGCTTGATCCAATGCTACCAGACTAGTAATTGGCGTAGGAATAGTCGCGGAAAGTTGGAGACGGTAGTTTCCAAATACGAGTTGCGCAAGAAGAGTTGCGAAATACGACCAATTAGTTCCGAAATCCTAGTTGCGCAAGAATAGTTGCGCAATACGACCAAATAGTTGCGCAATACGGGCCACGAATAGTTTCGCAATCTCAGTTGCGCAATCCAAGACAATTTCGCAATAGGACTTTATCCGGAATATCTGGCCTATAGCTCTGTTTGGAGTGCCTGCACCTGAAAAAACTGTTCGGGACCTAAAAAGTTTCTTTCTTCCCCCCGCCTCCTTTGTAACCTAATACCACGCCAAAATGAATTGGCAAAACCCTCACCATATAAAGAACTAACCCGTTAAGAACTTGAGGGTACCCTCGTTCATTATTCCCATATTTTCCACCTATAGCATTTAAGAACCCCAGGGTAGGCTGGAAAATTCTTAATGGGTTCTTAACGGTTCCGCTGTACCCCCAAATGGTTATTTACATTTATTTACCACATTTTCCATTCACCTTGTACAAGGGCGGCGACGCCGCCTCCAGGCATCAGAATGGGTAGCAACCTTGCAATCCAAAGAGCTCAAAGCGGTGGCACTGCCTGGCGCTAAACAGAGACGCCCTAATGTATCCTAATGTTAAATCTAAAATTGGATTGTAACAAAAATATAGGAAGGTTTTAAAATGTGTTGTCAACTCCCCTAATGGTAAATTTCATGTTCCCCCTTCTTTTTGAATAGTTCCAATACAGCCAACCACAGTTTCGATTCGCGGAAGTACGTAGCTAGTGTTCGGGTTTCAGGAAATGTTGACAGGCAAATCCAATCTTCAAATCCCACCCCAGCACCCCTAAAAAAACTAGTAATGGATGGCTAATAGATCCCATCGTTAACCAACCCTGCCGCATCGAATGGGCACCAAACAAGCGGCGACCCCTCGACTCATGGCCTGTCAATGCATCTCTGTCTCTGTCGCGCCTGGTGGATCAACCCTGTGGCATGATCAGCCAATTGACCTATACATACTCACTACTTCTAGTATCTCAATTGATACACCATTTGTATCCATCATTCATCTGAAACATGTTCACGTCTATGAAATGTTGGGGTTATCTAGATACAAGTGTGAATTGCTACTAACTATACCGTATATTACATACATCATATGTGAAGTATGTTGGTTCAATGCCATCGCCAGTTTTGTCGGTTGCCTCCCAATGTGTAGCCCCATTAGATCACCATCGGCGATATGAGGGCTCAGTTAGACCTTGGTTTGATATCAGCCTAACCCAAAGGTTCCCCAAGTTAGGGATTGAATGGGGATGAATAACTTTGAAAAACTATAGACCTATTAAATCATATTCAATCCTACTATTAACTATAAATCTTACTAGTTACTAGTATCAATATCAACATTAACCAACCCCCGGGTTGTTTTCCCCACCTCTTCTTCAGCCAGGTGAGTAGCAGGAAGACAAACGCCAGCAGCCCAGCCGAGCGAAGCAGGGCAGGGAGGCCACTCGTCATGGCGCCAGGGCCAGGGGGTAGGGCCAAGTGGGTGGGTTTTTTGTTTGGAGGACTGGCTGATTGGCTGATTGGCTAATGATTGGATTATTAACCTCTCGGTGGTTGCTGAAGGTCGATATTTTGCAATCAAGTGATAGTCTTTTTGGTGGTGCCGAAAGTGGATACTGAGGAGATATCATGGGATATCCATTGCCAAGAGCATGTTAGTTCTGACACTGTCTAGCAAGATGTGGATATGCTATTCATGCGTTAACGGGGCTTGGCTGGGAAAGGCACAAGGGCAGGAGAGACAGCCGCTCATGGTCCACGTTAGCTTGTCTCCCAAAAGACCAGTGACCAGTAGTGACGGCCTCTTTTTGTCAACACTCGCTTCTGCGCGCATTCTGCAGACCTTAGCAGTTTGTCGCACGGGCCCTGCAGCTTCTGTCATCAGCTTCTCCAGCTGGGATCTGGATCTGAATCGTGGTCCTCCTGACGAAAGCCAAAGGCTAGGGAATGGCTAGGGGTGGTCGGTGAGACCAATGTGTCCAACGGGTTGACATACCATTTCATGCTGGAAGGACCGTGACCATCTTGTCTGCTGCATGTCGAGCCCATTAAAAAGATGGTGGATAAATATGGATAAACCATGATAAGGTCATGTCACCAGCTTCTCAAGGGTCCTTCTTTGCTTCAATGGCACCAGTAATGTTGCAACACAGAACGTTCTGCCACCATGTTTTTTGTTCCAAAACTTATTGAAACCAAAACAACTTCTTCATGTGAGGCCAAATTCCGTCCAAGTTAAAAAGATACAACAGGATACAACATGATACAACTAATATCAACTAATATCAGTAAATCTACCATCGACAATGTTCTTCAGAACCATTTGTAGAATCCGAACACAACCGTCTCCCCTGCCTGGTCAAACGCTGGGGCGAAAAGTGTTTCAGCCTGGAGAACATCCGGGCTAAGCACAAGGCGAGACAATCAATGGATTGGATTAAGGGAAAATGTTAACCGGAAACCATGGTTTCTATTATCAAATATAGTGGTTTGCTGTTAATGTTCCCATCATCCCATTCTATGAGACAAGGATAAATAGGATGTGAAAGCAATACTAGCAGGGCAATAAAATGATGATAAGGATGAACCATGATGAACCCTTGGGTTTTTTGGGATTGACCCCATGTGAATATCCATTTTTGGACAAATGCATAATGATGTGTTTTACCCCAGTTGTATGGATTACCTGGCTGTTTCGCAGGCATCCAGCTCAAAGTACTGCTCCCCTGGGTCGCACCTTCAAACCTTCTCGCCGAAGATCGGCGGCCGCACTGGCCGGATGACGGGAACTTTGCCTCTGTAGGTTTTGGTTGCATCCTTTGATGTCCAAAAAAGTAGGGTGGAGATTTTTTTTTTTTTCGGGTGAGTTTGGGGATTTTGTTTCGGATTCCTGCTCCCTTATCTTTGCAGCATTTAGAAGCTATAACTATAATTTTGGTTTTCACGTGGTATTTGCACGATTTTGCAGTTCTTATGCTTGTTGGGTAGGGGGTGGGGGGTGAGGGATGGGGGAGTTAGGGGTTTGAAGGTGTTGAAAATTCTAAAGGTGTTGAAAGTGTTGAAGGTGTTGACGGTGTTGACGGTGTTGAAGGTGTTGACGGTGTTGACGGTGTTGAGGGTGTTGAAGGTGTTGAAGGTGTTGAAGGTGTTGAAGGTGTTGCAGGTGTTGAAGGTGTTGAAGGTGTTGAAGGTGTTGAAGGTGTTGAAGGTGTTGTTGGTGTTGTTGTTGTTGTTGTTGTTGTTGTTGTTGTTGTTGTTGTTGTTGTTGTTGTTGTTTGGTTGTTGTTGTTTGGTTGTTGTTGTTGTTGTTGTTGTTGTGGTTGCTGTTGCTGTTGCTGTTGCTGTTGCTGTTGCTGTTGTTGTTGTTGTCTTTTTCTTCTTTTTCTTCTTCTTCTTTTTCTTCTTCTTCTTCTTCGTGTTCTTCGTGTTCTTCGTGTTCTTCGTGTTCTTCGTGTTCTTCGTGTTCTTCGTGTTCTTCGTGTTCTTCGTGTTCTTCGTGTTCTTCGTGTTCTTCGTGTTCTTTTGTGTTCTTCGTGTTCTTCTTGCTCTTCTTGTTCTTCTTGTTCTTCTTGTTCTTCTTGTTCTTCTATTGTTAGTGGTTATATAGTGATTACCTACATAGATCTGATTTTTTGCAGTGTTTTTTGTGTGAATATCGTTATATACTCACTATCTATATACCCAGCAAAAAAAGAAAAAAACATATTCACAAAATTTCACGAGTATCAGTCATATACTCATATACCAAGTAGACATTCAAACCATGGAAAAGCAGCTCAAGATTGGTGAAAACTGGGCCTCTTCTGCCTGCAGCTTGGCTCGCCTCAAGTGGAATGTGCCCTTATCTATTAATTGGGTTGTCCTGTTAGATCATTTTAGATCTCCATGATGGTTTGTTCGCAACATTTCGAAACAAACGGCAGTGTGATTTCACATCCCCCTACACGGGCCAACGGAGCCCTACGAGTAGCGCTAGGGCATTGAGGGCCCTGCAGTTTTTCATCCCCGGCGGAAGCAAAGATCCTGAGGAGCGGCATCTAGATTTCTTTCACGCGTCGATGTCATGAAGCTGGGGATTTTGAACATTTCTGAAAATGTCATTCTGAAAAAGTGTCTTTGATGGTGCATTTCATCTAATTTTCCCTCATTAAAACCATGTACGACAACGCGAAACAATGTCAGAAATCGCTTCATTAAAATATCGCGTGATCTGTGGGACGGGTCTTTCTTATCATTTTGAATGATGTGGTAAACCATTGTAAAGCCACAAAGATCCATTTGGAGATGGGGATATCGAACCATCTCCGGCAAAATTGGGGATTGTTTGTTATTGGGGTGTCCCACATTAGGTTGAGAGATTCCAAGAAATCAAGCATGATAATGATTGGCCTCGCGACATTAGCTGCGGTTTATTTATTGGTTTCATTACCCTCCTGCAATCAAAACATGGCAGTTGAAAATCCATCATTTATAGATGATTTTCCCATTCAACCTCTATTTAGTTCGGGGATCTTCCAGCTAGCCATTTTTGAAAATCCATCGGAGGGTATAACTTGTCCAGCGGTTTTTCCCCACTTCACATTTTCGTCAACCACCAAGCCTCACAAAGCGTTCAAAGGAGCTTCAGTGGGTGTAATGGTGAGCCGCATACGGCTGGGAAGAATCTGGCGGCTCCAGAGGCTGAAAAAAATTAGCCGACATAGATGGGGATTTTTAGCCCAAAGCCCTTACTATATGTAGGTTTAATCATCAACAATGGATTATACATTATAATGAAAAATAATGTAAAATATATGGAAAAATTGGATTAACATGGATTAACCATAGATGGGTCAAAACATGTCAAAACCTATGAAGAAATCATATTTGGGGGGATGAACATCCACAAATCCCAGCATATCCCAACTATTTTGGGTCAACAAAGGGGTACTAGGGTTCTGACTCATACACAAATAATTATAGAAAACAACTATGGTTTGTTCCATATCTAATAATTATATGATCTGAATTTGCTGGAGGGTAAGCTGTTTGGGTTAAGAAACACGTGTCCCTTCCCCGAAGAATTTACTCGAGATACCATCAGCAGGGAAATGGTAATACTCTCTTTAAAACATCCCAAGCACCATCTGCGCGAATACCCACTGTTAAGTTAGTTCCATTATTTACCTATAAAAAGATGCTGATTGTCCATAGCCACGTTAAATGCCAGAGGGTATCCAAACACTTCCTGTGTACAACTCCCGCATCACCCTGAAGTCCCGGCGAGGATTTTTTTCAAAAGCAATTCGGCTGGCGCAGACCGCAGACTGCACGCTGCGCTGGTTCAAGCCAGGATTGGCCGCTCATCCCACTCACTTAGTAGATAAGCAAACACCCCGCTTCTCAGTGGATCGACCTTGATTAACTTCACTTATCCAACTTGTACTAATCAGAGATATCACTTACATCATACATTTACTTAGGAAGTGGGATGAACCACCAAGCAGTGACGTGGTTTTGTATGAACATAGGCTACGCCACAATCACATGGTCACTACGTTCCCAATTCAACTGGGAATCAATTGGGTATCCCCAATTCTTCAGGTACCCAAAAGATCGTATTGTTGGTAACTTATATCCACATCCCATTGAAAAATCCCATCAAAAATAATGCCATCCCCATTTTCTGCTGTTTCAACTTCCACTTTCGTGGGACGAAGCTGGTGACTTCAGCCGGCGCTCTTGGGACTCGGCGTCCCAGGCGTGCCGCTGGAGCCTTTGCCTTTGCCGCTCACCGTCTCGGAGGCATCGGGGAACATCTCTGGCCCATGTTTGGCCACGAGGCCTTGGGCCGGAGTGATTTGGTCCGGGATGGGCTGGGAGCGGATATTGCAGATATGACTGTCATATAATCTATTATATGTAGACATGTCAGGTATGCACGCCTACATAGATGCAATGGTATTCCATACATGTGTTTTTGTTTTTTGAATAAGCACACCCAAATTTCCAAACATAGGGACCCATCTCATCTCCAAGCAGCTGTTGGCCACCGCAATCTTGGTGCTGTGGTTTTGAATAAAGGCTGCAACATCTGGTGACTTCATGTAGCATGAGTGGCTGGGCAACGCTTGCATCCTCAGATCCAAATACGACTGCATCCAAAAAACGATTCAAAAGTCATTGTTCTTAGAGTTTGACAAAGCACAAGTTGAATCTTTCAGTTATGAGTTTTTAATGGTGGTTCTGGCTATCTGATTATCTGTCTAACAAACCACATTGTTTCCAATATCTTTGCGGACTATCAATGAGGTTCAAAATCCAGGTCGGCCCCCATCATGGCCTTGGCCCAAAATGAAGTATACACCGTACCCCAAACTATGGCCAGCTTGATGTGAAACATCATGATAATCCACTTCAATTCGGGAATGCCCCCAGTTTCAGAAACACCCAAAAATAATTGATGGTGGTACTTACTATACCAAAAATAGTCTCGCCCCAACCGAAAGAACAGTTGTACATCTGGAAACTAAGAGTGAAACACCATCTACCAAGCATCCTTAAAAAAGACGTTTCGGCATCTTTTTGGGGTTCGCTATGTGTATAAATATATATATATTGCCGAAGGAAGTTTAGAAAGCCAAACTTCCGACAATATGGACAGATGGAAAAGCAGAGGTGGGAAGAGAGTCAGAGAAGAGAAGAGCAAAAGAGGGAAGATCAGAGAAGAGAAAAAGTGAGAAGAAAGAAGATGCAGGTGCGCGAAAAGGTAGCAAAGTCGCGAAACACTATGTTTTTCCAATGATTTGTGGCTCTGGAGGGTTGAAAAGTAGGCTCGCTAAAGCGGCGGGTGCGGAGCCAGCTGGCCAGATGAGAAATGAAAAATTGCACGCCGTTGTGGCGCGAAGCAGGTCTGAGCCAGCATATATACACTACATAATATATACGATACCCCCCCGAGATCTACCTTAAAGCATTTTATAGCACGGCATCAAAAGCAGATCTTGTGTAGTACATAATATATATATATTTCCCTGAGATATCCCCATCCATAGGTTGCTTTGGATATAATCCCCATAAACCCATGGGGCACCACCACCGTCTCCATCAGCCCAATCAGCCCAGGAGCAACTCACCTGCCACCCCTACGGTCGTCCACATACCTCGGCAGCGGTTTTTTTTCTTCGCCAAGAAAAGGACGTTGGAACATGCAAAAGGTCAGTTGCGTGTATGCTTCTTCCAAAAAAACATGTAATTGCTGTAGTTGTATGTATATAGTGTATATATATATATAGAGAGAGAGAGAGAGCGACAAAATATGTAACGCTTGCCACTCGGATAAACAGTACAAGATGTGCGCGTGTTTCTTGGATGGAGCATCAACCAACCAAAGAGTGGCAGAAGGATAGCTGTTCTTTAGTAGTTAGAGTCACCATTCTTGGTGCAGGTTTTCCAAGGTTTTCCTGCTGGTCCAATTCAAATCCCAATTTCCAGTGGTCAACTCACCATTGTTGTTGGTTAAAATCCACTTCTTTTGGAACATATGGTCCCTTGGGCGTTTGCTGCGAGCTGCTCATATCCTCTTGCAAGGACCAGTCCACGCGGTCGCCCGCATTTAAGGCGACCCCTCCAATGAGCCGCAGGAGATCGTTCTTAGCTTTCTCCTGGGGTGTTCGATAATAACAACAAACGGCTAGAATGAGAGAATGGAAAACAGTTGGGATATGATATGGCACGCCAAAACACAAACCATGGTCATGTCTAGAGATTCTAGTATATCATATCTGTAATTTATGGGGGAAAACACCACCCACAGCCAGGATATCAGGATGATTGTCCCCACCATTAAGCCATGAGCTCAATAGATTTGGGGCTCCTCACTTCGGCAACTTCAGCATCCAAAGGGGCAGTCCAGAACAAATCCCCAAGTCACTAGTGGTGTCTCGTACAGATGGCTCCGAAAATGGGTTCCCCAAACTCCCAAACTCCAACGGTTTTCCGGGCGAGCGTGCCTCCCCGCGTGCCCAGGTGTACATGGTCTTGCCCATCTGATGCAAGGCGTGGTTCGTTTTGTAGCCTCCCCAATTCAGCTGATCCGAGTCGCAAGGGATCCATTCGGGATCCAATTTCTCTAACTCCTGCGGTGCGAAACGCGCTGCGAAAATAAGTCGGAATCTTGCAGATTTACCATCGCTGGAGGTCATTTGTAACCCATTCTGGTAGGTATTAGTACATAAGTTTGCATATTAATGCATATTATGTCACAGATAGAGCATCAGGAAAGGACAAACAGGGTGAGAAGACAAAGATTGATATCTCATTCAGGATTGCTTTACAGGAACATTTACATGAACATCATCGTTTTGTTCATGCTTCTAGCAAAACGCGCGCTTTGTCTTAAAATGGGGTACGTTAGGAATCCAAGGGTTGATCATTTTCCCCTTTGAAATATAGGAAAAATTGAGGGCATCATATTTGGACAACCTCATCTTTGAGACACGGACGGACACCGGATTTCCGAACTGAATTCTAGGGAACCTCTACGATGTTTTTGTTTTGGCAATGTAAAATCACATCAACATCAGATAATCCATCAGATAATCACCCATTGATTGGTGCTTTCTCCATGATTTCCCCCTGATGATTCCAGTGGGATTTTTATGGATTCTCCTCGGCGATCAAGGGTTCAACGCGATAGGCCACGGGATCCAAAGGATGGAAGATGTTGAAGTAACGGGTCCTCGTCAAAGGTGGATGTCTTCGAAAAAACAGTGGATTATGACCACCTGATCTATGATGACCCTCTGGTAAACTGGTGATTAATGGTGATTTCATGGGATTTATATAATGGGATTTCATGGTGGTTTAGTATGGTTTAGTGGGATCTAATGGTGATGAATGCAGGTTTAACCTCTGGTGAACCTTTACATAACTATGGAAAGATCCACCATTTTTGATGGGTAAATCAACGAGCTAAATAGCCATTTTCAATAGCTATGTTAGTTTACCAGAGGGTAACTCCTATGTTGGAGTTGAACAGCGATTTTTTCTTGGTATGATTAGTCATGTAGAAAAACTCCCATGATACTGGCTGGTTTAATTTCATTGTGTCACTGTTTTTGAAAAACACCTGCTGGTGGCTGGTTGGACAGCCATGATTTGAGCACTTTGGACTCTGGAAGATAATATATGGTTAATCTATCGTTAATCTATGGATAATGTATGGATAATCTATGGATATTCTATGGATATTCTATGATTCTATAATTACTTGTTGTTTATTCGAAAAAGTCCGGTTTGACCCGTCCATCCCGGAGCTATGAGTGGCTTCCCTGCAGACGCTGAAAGCCAAACTGGTCTTCGGCTATCGTTCAGATTGCTGTGAATTCACAGATCGTCCATCAGCATTATGGTTTCCTACAGGATGTATCTCCATCTGACTCGGTGAACAGTGGGGAGAAACCCAGGATATGAAACATCCAACTGGCTGAACCTTAACCCATCAATACCATTCAGCGTTCACCCCCGTTCACCTGTCAGTCTACTTGGATATGCGAGGAATCGTCAGTGATTTATAAGCAATTCAGCCATGTATCCAACTGGTGATATTCCATCAATCTAACTGGGCAATTTCTTGTGGTTACCTACTGGCTTGCGAGCCAAAAAAACCCATTCTTTCTGCTTCGCGCCAAGTTCAACCCCCAATTTTTCATACGCAAAGCCCCATACAGTGACGAAATCCTGCACCAGTTGGTGGTATTAGGTGGTATATCTCATGATTTATAGGGTTTCAAATCTGGTTGGTGGTTTGAACCCCTCTAAAAAATATGAAAGTCAGTTGGGGTTACTCTTCCCAAAAAATGGAAAGTCATAAAATTCCATGGTTCCAGTCACCACCAACCAGAAATGCTTTCAACCTTTATCTTGGTGGTTTATCGGATTGCGCCACCATCTACAGTTGGTCGCCGAGACGCCCTCCCGGCAAACTGAAGGAACGGTTCGGGATGCTGTCGGCCGTGTGCAGAAACAACCCCACGGGTGATCCCATAGTGAAAAGGACCTGCCGCTGGGCTGGGCTGTTGTGGGGTGAATGGTTCAAGTTTCACCAAGGAAAATCGGGTTTCAATTATCACCAATCATAACGGGATATGAATATGTATATATACGTATATATATACGTATATATATATATATGTATATATATAATGTATCATTATGTATTGCTAATCATGTGATTTGGGGATGGGTCAAAATTATCAACCCCAAAATTAGATGATACGATGATCATCCCACAGGCCAAGCAGTTTGGCAGGAAACTCCAACATGTTTGTGCTTGAAACATAATTCTTATCCTGTAGAATCTAACGTTTTCTGCCCAAATCTCTGGTTTTGCTGATTTTTGCTGGTGAAACTCACACTTTTAAGTCAATGAAGCTCTCCGCATTACTCCAATTTTCTGCAGAAAAACCCGGTCCAAGTCTTACCAACCCCAGCCCCTCCAGCCCCTCCAGCCCCTCCTGAGGCACGAAGCTCAGCTTGGGACTCCCCGTGCGCAAGAGTTCGAACAAAATGACGCCACCCAAGGAGTGCCCCGCCAGCACCACCGAGCCCTGATAGACTCGGTGCAAGGCTGGATGGATAGACCATCAGTATCCATCTGTGGTTTTATGAATTGTTATGTATTGTATAACCATATAAAAGCCACATTATTTGGGATATCAATTGGATATCATGTGATTATTATGGTGGAGAGAGTTCCATAAATATGTATATTTTCATGTCATCCTATGTCCATAAACATCGAAGTGGCTAGTTATTCCAGGTTATTCAAATAAGTTACTAAGTTGAATAATCCTGGTGAATAACTAAGCACTAATGGTTCTTCAAACATCAATCTGGGTAAATTATAATATTTCACTAATCTGAATTAAGGCCATTTGGGTATGATTTCCCGTATTAACCATGATTCCAGTGAGGTCGTAGTGAGGTCGTTATAATTTATCCAGATCAATGTTAAATCTCGATGCTTCGATGCGCGTGGTCGACACGCGGATGACCCCAGCGATTTTTCGGAATGGTCACAATATGATGGATGTTGATGGTATCATCCAGAATTGATCATCCAGATTATTCATGATTATTCCAGATTTTTGAGACCCTAAAAAAAAGGATCCAATGATGCTTGCCGTGCCTTGTAGTCGGGATGGTGCTCATAGAATCGCGCCAGCGCGCTTTCCACTGACTTGGCCACGGCCTTCAAGATCTTTTCTTTGTGTCCGGGATGCATGTAGTAAAGCGCATCTACCACCTTAGTCAGCAGGTGGGAAATCCTGTAGTGATCTATGTGAACTCATTATCTGAACCCCAGATTAACAAACTGTGAGGTACCAGGTACACTATTTAAGTGCAAAGAAGCCCGAGAAATTTTGTCAACCAGGGTCTACTAATCATAGGGGATTGACATTGCATGACATTACCACCACTTCACCAATCCCAATCGGCGACTGGACGAACTCTCCAGAGTTCTGATACATTCCTCGTTGCAAAGTTGACCATCTGGTAATCTAACATGACAATGGAATATCATGGGATCTTCCTATAGATACCAATTTTTATATCATTTACAAGGGGTTTGTCCATGGTTTTCCCAGCCATCTGTGCTAAAAACCGCCGTTGGTTTCACCGTGGCGCCGTGAAGTTGGCGATCTGTCGCACCTGCTTCATCGATGGCAACGAGATGCGCGCCAAACGAGCGTCCATCTCGTCCGTGTGGACCGTCTCCCACCAGGAAGCCTTGGTGGACTGGATGAGTTGTTTAAGAGTGACTAATTCAATGGCCATTCCAGGATCCTAAATTGGAGGTACCTACCATATAAGAGGCCTATGTAAGGAATATCCCCAGAAAATATGGCCTTATATGGTACAGTACCTCCATTTTTGGATCCTGAAATTCCCATTCACTAATGGTTACAATAATGGTTATAATAATAATGGAGAAGCATAAGTATAATATCCCCATAATTATGGTTTGTATTTAATATCCCCCTTATAATGCCATGGTTTCAACCCCTCTGAAGAATATTAGTCAGTTGGGATTATTCTTCCCAATATATATGGAAAAATAAAAAATGTTCCAAACCAGTAACCAAATGGTTAATAATATCCCCATAATTATGGTTGCCCGGTTACCCTCTGGTAGTCACTAACAGTAAAAGCTATGGACAAATCACCATGGTTAATAGATGAATCAACTAGAAATAGACCATTTTCCATAGCTATGTTAAATAGTTGTTTGAGTGACTTGAGTTACTTGAGCTTTGAATATGGGGGTGTCCATAAATGGGGATACCCCTAATAGCTGGGAGATTTATAACGGAACCGCCTATTAAAATGGATGATTTGGGGGTACCGTATGGTAGTCACTAACAAAAAGCTATGGACAAATCACCATGTTTAATAGATATATCAACTATAAATAGGCAATTTACCATAGCTGTGTAAACAAATTACCAGAGGGTACTTGAGGTTTGAATATGCTCAAGAAACATTTCTAGGAAAAACAAATAGAATCCACACTGGCATCAGGTAGCAAGTAGCTACCTGTATAGCCATGTCCGTCATGTGGCCACTACTATCCAGGACATGGAGTGAAAAGCGATAACCAGGAGTGTCGCAACCCCCACGACTCACATCATGAAATGAAGTGAAATCATACCATGGTTTCTCATCACCTCCCCACTCAAATTGCCATTTTATGGGGTATACCGGTATTACCCCAATTTCATACACGCCCATGTTGTACAATCTGGCATATAGCCACCTCTGAAACCATCATTTCAATCACAATTCACCCAAATTTCAGATACAGCATCTAAACATAGTTTCTATGGTTTCAAAGAGTCAAGATGGGCACAAAACCCCATCATCCCCATCACAACTTGCCGCATAAGCCAATATTATCAACCTGCCAACTAGAGACTCACCATATTTCTAGAAAAACAATCCTATTCGTAGTTATATCCCATCATATCGTCATAAAATGGTAGGCACTATTATTCCCACATGTTACACACATGTTACCCCAACGTTTCGCTTCCAATAGCTATAGTCAATTATTAATCCCCATCCTATCCCATTTAAACCGCTATACTCCCGTTCAAGTCCCGTAAATCACAATATAAATGCTAGGTGTCAAACTAGTTCTATTCCCACAATGTATCTCTTTCTATACCCAACTTTTGCTTCCAATTGATCTCCTCACCATATATCATATATATATATACTGTATATTTATCTATTCGAAGTGATCTCCTCACCTTTTTCCAGTATCTCACCAGATCAACCCCATGGTTTCCCCATGGTTTCCCCGGGGCCTCCAAGACTTCGTCCTTCTTCACCTCTGGCGGCGTCTCCCCCGGAAACTCCCAGCCGTCGCCAGCTTTCACGAAGCCATGGCCCCGCAGCTGCTTGGCGTGGACCAGCTGACGGAAGACGCCCGAGGACCAGGCCAGGCCACAGCCTACGGAGTCTACGGAACGGCGCGCCGTGGTGTTTTTGAATGGTGCTTTTGGGGGAAAATGGGTGGGGAAATATGAGGAAGATATAGAAATTTGAAATATGTATAGTAAATTAGGATAGGAAGAAATGTAATAAATTAGGAGACACGGGCAAATGCAGGCAAGTATGAAAAAATATGGGATGAATTATGTACAATAATGTAGCAAAAGAATGAAACAACTAGCCAACATCACAGCATATTATCTATAATATTATATATATAATATTATATAATGTTGTATATATATATATATTCATGTATGTAATTATATATATATAAAGTGTATAAATATAAATGTAATTATATAATATATAATATTGTAAATAAATTTCATGGGGGCTCAAAAGGCACCGGACTAACCAAATCGTCTTCTTATCAGAGCAGATTTCATGAGATAGATAAACAAGTCAATATTACTAGTACCCAAATTGCATCTAATAATTCTAATGGCAATCAAATCTACTTGTGAAACAGTGTAGTGTGTTTTCCCCTCGGAACAATGATGTTTTCTTAATGTTTTTAAAACTGCCATGGCATCCATTACCCGCAATGTATATCACAGCGTTTTCCCCGGTGCCTTCCTCACTCCACATCTTCTCTCCAATGCCATGGACCAGCACAATGACATGCCCAATCTCCTTCCTTGGCAATGTGTTTGCAGGATTGATAAAGTGAGGAAGAAGCCGCTTTGCTATTGGCACTCTTGCAGGGAAACCTGACATAGTGGGCACTCTGGTAATGTTCTCTAAGTGAGCTCTGCCGGAGCATGCCCAGGCTCTGCTCAGACTCTGCTCTCACGAAGCAAATGAAAGTTCCACGTCTACTGGCTCTACCGTTCCAGGACCAGCTGCGGGATCCAAACGGCTGCGACATACCGGACATGACCGCGCTCTTTGAAGCCAGCCAACCAAACACTGTTCGTGAAAGACGTGGCGACCGGCAGCACAGGGGGGGCGACACGATGGCAGTAGATGCAGTAGATGCAGTAGATGCAGTAGATGCAGCAAAGTCTGACGAACAAATAGCGCAACTTTTTGCGTAAGTTTCGTCGTTGAAGGTATCAGGATCGAAACCAATCCGAGTAAAAGTATTCACCAACATGGCCATATTTTCGATGGGAATATGCCTCGGACACATGATCCAGCAGATGAAAGGCGACAGCACAAACCAAGTGTTTGCAATTAGGCCTGGCGTGCAAGTGTCTGCCAGCACCAGCATGATGAAGGTGGTCACTGGAAAAATCACTTCAAATAGCACTGTGACGATTGCAAAGATGCGATAGAGGCAAGGAATCAGTCTACGGAAAGTTGGAGGGCCGAAGTCTGGTGGACAATCATGCCAGCAATACCAGCCGGTAACAGCGGCGAATTTTACAATCACCTGCAACCAATAGATCATCACACATATACCCAGCGGCTGGTTGCATTCGTCCTCCAAACATGGCCAAACCATGCCAGCTCACGACGAGCATCCAAGCGCCCGGAACGACGAAACTATACCTGTTCGTATATTTAAAAATCCGTATATTTAAATGTAGTTACCGTATATTAAAAAATACCAGAGGGATCCAGAGGGTATAAACCAACAGAAACCGTTTTCGTTTGGAGCCCCTGGGGCGCGACAGGGGCGCCACAGGACCAAGCTTCGACATCATCTCCTCCTCCACTTCTCCCAGCTGACGCTCGATCTCGCCAAAGCCGCGTTGCACTCCATAGCTGCCTCGGGCGCGCAGTGTGGCTGGGGCAATGAGTCAAGCCATTGAGGTAACATGTCTTAACCATGGAACCCAAACATTGGTTCTGGAAGATGATTTGCCGATGTGTTTGCCAAGCTTGCGTTCCATGTGCAATTTGGGGAGGGGTGAACCATCCAATTGGGGGCCACAAAAAGTGCTCATTTCAGCAACTAGATGTACCTTTCACAGAGCATAGTTACACCATGTTACACCTTTATGCAACACGTCCAACACATCAATCCAAAACAATGCTGACATTGCCTTCATCCAATTCTTGTATGTGCTTTTACGGAACCCAAAAAGAATCTGTTTTTTTCCGGATTCCCCAAGTTGTGGATTTCCATTGATCATCATTGATCTATTGGGGATTTTCCAAATCATTGACTCGGCAAATCCAAGAGTTGCTCTCCAGCAAGGATTTGCCATAGGAGAACAAACTGTTGCCCGTCTGCGCTTGATCTGCACAGGTGAATTTCCACTTGTTCGCCTCACGACAAACTCGACGGCGATGAGACACATTTATGAAAATGGATTAAGATGGCAACATGGTGCATAAATGGCGGTTTTATGGTGGTTTTCCATGAATGTTCCATAAAATTCTGCAATTTTTGCCTTCATCCAAGTCTAATGGATGAACATGGTGGTTGTCCATAATTGTTTATACATGTTTATACCATTTTTGTCTTCGTCATCCTTCCAAGTCTGGCAATATCTGGCAATTCTGTTCCAGGCAAACTTGAACTGGCAATATCTGGCAATATCTGGCAATATCTGGCAATATCTGGCAATTCTGTCTGGCAATATATACCATTCCCAACCTTGAACTTCAGCTTCATGAGAATCGTTCGAGGTCGCCCCTCTGCAACCGCTCTCTTCACCTCTTCGCTCATCTCGTAGCTTTCGGCCGGTTTCCTGAGGTCGTGGTGACATGGTCTCCACCGCAACATGGTCATTCCAACAAGGAACAAAATGATGAAAAATGATCATAAACCACAGAAATCAACCATTGGATTCGTTGGATACCCATGGATACCCATGGTTTATCAACCGTTTCCGTGTCGCCAGGTGTCGCTTCGCTGCTCTCCATTTCGGCTCTTTGCAACAGCTTCTGGTACGCCGACTCAATGGCCTCATCCGTTTGCTCATCATAGGGTGTCAAAGTCCCGTTGGAAATCAGGAACCAACGCCCCCGCAGTACCCGGCAGGATTCCTTGGGAGGGTCACTGCCATAGCAGTCCTTGGCATCGGCAAACTTCGGCAATTTATGATAATTAATCTGAATCAAAGATTATTCCCAAATTTGAATATAACACTGGAATATTATTCCCAGATATTATGATCAAAAGATTATTGGAATCGTAAACAGTGTTCTTTAGTTTTGATTATTGGAATCAAAGATTATTACCAGATATTATGATCAATTTGAATATAATAGCTAAAATATGACGATCTATAAATGGCAATATGATAAAAGATACAAATGATTAGTACCAAATATTATGATATATTATGATCAATTAAGACAGATTCAAAAGGATACAGTACCCAGTCAAACATGCCAAATGAATCCAAATGATGAGACAGCCAAGGGTTAAGCCATAGCGGCCAGGAATCCTGCAGAGAGCGTTGCTGCAGATTCACCTGACATGGGACGAGGCCGCAAAATCTCTGGTCGAAACGATCCTTAAATGATGTCCAACTAGTGCAAACAAATCCACCAATATTTGGCAACAACATGCAACAACTGTTTGATTCTGGATGATTGGTTGCATCTTAAGTTACTTAAGGGAAGGATTTTACATGATTTTACCATGGCAGATCTTGTCACCTTCGATGCACTCCGGCTGGCCTTCCATCTGCCACCTTCGACTCGCACAATGTCTTCGCTTTCAGCCGATGTGACTTTGCCTTCAGCTGCATCCAGTCTGGGTTGATCTGATCGACGAAAGGGCAGCCAACCTCAGGTGTTTACATCAGCCATCTGCAGGATGTATGATTTCCAAGGAGAATGGGGAGAGGTTTTTTCCGAGGTTCCAAGGGCGATCCGAGGTTTCCAAAAGTTTCCACTTGGGGAATCCCAAAATCACCTTTTTCTATCAGCGCTTGGAGTAATTCACAACAGATCTTCTTGGGGTGTTCTCATTGGTGCTCAACTTTTCCCGATTTGCAGGATGGCTGCAACATCAGCAGATTTTCCAGTTCCCCCACAAAAACATTTGATTGTTTGAAAAAATGTTTCTTTCCCTTCAAATTCCTTATTCAAATTTTATCAAGATTTGTACATACCCTCTGTTAATCAAACATTTCTTGCTGGAAAATCCCCCATTCAGATGCTTTTTTTCCATCTGTTTTTCCCATATCCATATAAATCTCCACTTAAACAGGTGTAAACATCGGTAAACATCGGCAAACTAAGTCTTAGTGCCCCAAGTAACGCAGCTCGCCCTTCTCATTCTTCTCCTCCCAGAGCCACGTAAACGGCAGCGCCTTTGCGGCCTCCTGGAGGCTTCGAGGTTGCGGCACCAGGGCCTGTGTGGTGGACAGCGGCCAGCCCTCCCCGGGTGGCGGAACGGGAACGGGCGACTTCTCCGGGGACTCCACGGGGGACGTCACGGTGGCCATGAGGTCATTGGGCCATTGGGGCTTCAAGGGCAGATGTTGGAAGGTTGGGTCCTGAGGTTGAAGCATGGTGAAACCCAGGATCCTGACGATTTTTTTGAACTGGAGTTGAATATATTCTTAAAAAATGTTACTGTGGGATGATATGTGTTTCTTTTGTCAGTGTTATATGTGTTATGGTCAACAAACTCATACTGATGAATTCAATCGAGTGAACACCTTGCGTCAGTGCAGTGAGCTGCAAATATTTGCTACAATATGAGGGAAAGTTGCTTTTTGCAAATCCACTTATTCACGACTGATTGTGAATATCTCGTACATCTCTATGTGAAGCTGTGTGTTTGCGAAGTGAAGTCAGGTATCGTGCAGACGCAACTGCGATAGTTGTGCTGAGTTGAGCCATGCTCGCAGAAGGGATCGGGTCTATCTTCATAGGGGACAACATGGAACCTGATCGGCTGGCTCTATGAATGCAAGTTTGTCATTTTGGGTACTATAGCTATATCTACCCTTTGAGACGCCAAAAACCACATGCAGAATATTGAAATGTTCCTCAACTTATCCCTCAATCAACCAGACACTACCAACCATTCTCAAACAAACCTTTATCCGGCAATGCAACGGGAGGCAAACATGGCAGCCGTGCAGGCCATGCCATCGCTCTCTTCGGTGATTTCTATCGGCAACGGGTAGACCTCGCGGGTTGAAATCGCACAAGCCATGAAACTCGATGAATTTCAATCACTGGGGTTGGTGCTTCACACCCTTGCAAATATATATGTATAATCGATATATATATATATATTGTGTATATATGAGTCAATTGTGACGAATTTGGTATCAACATGAATCAACATGTCATCAACCAGACATACCAATATATCAATCAGATATCCCAATATATCCATCCGTTTGGTGGGTATCAATATCCAACCTCTATGAAAACAAAGGCCGTTGGGAGCACCTCGGTCCTTGCAGTGCTTGGCCCATGCCTCACCGAGTCGTTGAGCATCCAGGGGGAAAGAAAAACCATGAAAACCCCTGACATAGTGGAGAAAACGATGGATTATGACTTATGTTTACATGGGTCAAAAAATGGGTTGTACAAAAATGGTTACAAACAGGTGGAACATGTTTAAAAATGGAGGGAAGAAGACTTCCATGCCATCCTGGAAATACATGTCAATATATGTCAATCATTTTGAGCTTTTTGGAGTTGCTATATCTTATTTCTGAAGACTTAGAATAATTCAATAGTTTTTGCTGCAAAGTTCTGTTGATAGCCTCCAGAATGTGGGTATGCAGCAAAACTCCTGGTCCCCCGATGAGCATCAACAAAAAAGTTCACAACATGTATAGTAGAATTATAGAATGTTTAAGGAGCTGTTCATCCAGTTTGGTCTTTTTGTTCGGACCCATACCCGTAATAGTCTGGTTGGTGGTTTTAACCATCTTGAAAAATATGAAAGTCAATGGGAAGGATGACATCCCAGATATTATGGAAAATAAAATTCATGTTCCAAACCACCAACCAGTACTTGATAGTGAGAGACATGTGAAATTGTGAAGTTCTGACCAAAAACTCATCCCAAAAAACCTCTGTTTTCATGAGGATTCAACCAACTCCCCGCAAGGCGACGCCTTTAAAGAATCGATGGTTTTCAGATTGGTTCAGATTCGCCCGTATTTGTTGGCGATACCCTCCGGTAGTCAATGGAAAATCTAGCATTTATAGACGATTTTAGATGTTCCCGTTAAAACCTCCATTTCTAACTCCATGGTAGTAGGGGATTTGCCATGGGATTTTCCATTGCCACGTTTGATCACCGGAGCGTAAGAGCAACTCACGCTGGGGATGGCACTGGAGCCTGGGAGCCACGGAGACCTGGAGAAACAACCAGAAATCACCGGCAACACCAAGTCCAACCGGCTGTGATATACGTAGGGATATATAGAGAATCTGAATGAATCTGAGCTGTGGCAGAAGGAAAATCATGAAACAATCATTGATCTCTGGTTCTTTTTGGTTACCCCTTTAGCATTCCAAGTAGTCCGCCAGCATTTTTCAAAATGCATCTGACAAAAGCAAAGGTTCTGATCCTCCCAGGTCCCACACTGGGGTTCCACCTGAGTATGAAAACCTGAAAAGACTCCCGAGTAGGACTCTCCATAAAAATCATAAAGGATCTATTTCCGATTTTACCCGACCTGTAGTGACTACAGTAATTTGAAGTTCTTTTCCCGGGATTCTCCCGATTTTTCCTCTTCTCCCTTGAGCGTTTTTGGAGACTCCACGTCTCCCTTTACGAAGCCAGTGGCTCACCGAGCCACCAAACTTGCCAATTTGGCTGTGAAAAATGGGTGACACTGACATACACTCACACTCCTCAATTTGGCTGTCGAAAGATCATTTTACAGCAAGTGGTAGGATAAAATGACATCAAATCTGGGCTACCTTATTTTCGGACAAACACATACTTCAGCATTTTGCAAGTGGAAGCTGACACATGAATTTGACTCGTCAGCATGATTTTAAGATGTTTTAAGATATCTAGCCACGCAATCCGCCTACCCATGGCCCATGGCCCATGAAACCCGCCCATCCGCTCCATTCCGCTCCTCGCTTGCCATGGTGATCCATGGTGAAGAGCAGGAGATGCGGTGCAGTATCTGTCACGCCTCTGGGATCCATCAGATCCATCATGACTTGCACCAGATTTTGGTCAAGCCTACCCAAAATGGCTATGACCTCAAAAAGATCCAAGTCAGATGCCGTTGAAACTATTACGCAAAGTAATTCGGAATATTCCTACAGAGTCTTCCATGTGCAACCAGAAAAGTCTCCCTGCCCTGCACCTGCCCTGGTTCTCGCCGGCTGCAACCGGCTACTGAGATCATCTGCAACCAGCTGCAGGAAAATTGTGAAAGGATGTGCACCCTTTCGGGGGACATACCCAATTGGATCATGATGAATCCCTCCTTCAACCATTTCAATCCATTTCATTTGATACACTTTGAGCGAGCTGGCTACCCCAATGCTGGGCTGGCTGATGAGAAAGCCCCATAAGCAGGCCAAACGAGCGCGAAGTTCAGGCAGGCATGTCCGAAAGAATTGTGAAATCACAAAACATGATGATAAAGTATAAGAAATATATGAAATATTGATAAACACTGATGTGATCTGATGTGATATCTAAGACTAAAATGCAACTCTGAGCTACTAGTTTTAAGACCTCTGGATTCTGCTTATGGCCCCGGGTGCTCAGAACCGCCTTCATTTTCTTGTGCGAAACTTGCTTGACGCCAGGGCAGGTGTTCTGAAACAAATGTTCACGTTCTACCAGTTCTACCCAAATCATCGTGTGTGCCCTTGGTCATTTGGAAATGGACCGCCGCTTCACGTGCTCATGGATTCATATCACTGGAGACTCCGAAAAAGTCCTATAGAAATTCCAGGACACACACAGGTACACCCGGGTAGGCCACTTCCTGACTTGAAGATATTGGAAGACACATCCAATACATGTCACAAACAACGTATCATGTCAACAACTGCAGCTCATCATGATTTTGATATGTCTTAAACTCTAGTGAACAATACTCAACCCTATTCTTATCCTCACTCTCTTCACCGGAATCCACCGGCACCAAAAAAAAGGTCTAGCTCTCCACGGGCGACAAAGAATGATGGCCGCGCTCCCTCACTCGTGGAAGAAGATATATGGACCTGCTACAATTTGGCCGCAGGCAAGTTCACTCTAGCACTTTTTATCAAAGGAAAAGGTCATTTACCATATACCGTATACCCAAGAAATGGGGGTGTTGAATCTTGACTTTTAGCCATTTGGCAACAAACAACTAAGCCATCAACTATTCGATGCCATGACGCTTTGCTTAATTCACTCATGTTTCTCACTGCAAAATTCCCAACTCTTGGTCTAATCCCAAAAAATGTTCCACAAATCCAACTGCAAATAGCAAACCAGCCCAAAAAATCAAGTCAAAAACCATCTTCTCCAACTGCCAGTACTTTCTTTATTTACCCAAAAAAAACCATCCATACCTGGTCCATACCCCACAAAAAGCATACAAAAACCCGAAAGAAAATCCATCTTCACCTGCGAAGTCCTGCATGATGCCAGCACAGGTCGTCCATCCAACCAGCCACAAGGCCCAGCCACCGAGGCCGTTCCATCCCCTGCAGCTTCGAGGTAGCGAAATTTCAGGGGGAAGAAGGGCGGCTTGGGATATCACTTAAAGTGATACTTAAAATTGTGGATATACTCTTGATATATATATAATATATAATATAATATAATATAATATGATATAATATAATATAATATAATATAACATAATATAATATAATATAACATAATATAACATAATATAATATAATATAATGTAATGTAATGTAATATAATATAAGATAACATAATATAATATAATATAATGTAATATAATATAATATAATATAATATAATACAATACAATACAATACAATAGAATATAATATAATATAATGTAATGTAATGTAATGTAATGTAATATAATATAATATAATATAATATATATAAAATATAAAATATATAATATATAATATATAATATATAATATAATATATAATATATAATATATAATATATAATATATAATATATAATATATTATATATTATATATTATATATTATATATAATATATAATATAATATATATATATATATCATGTTCGAACTCTGGTTTTTCATGTTTTTTCTACATCAGCAAACAGTATGTTGTCTCTCGATGTGTTGCCCTATTTGGACACCAGCAAAAGGAAACCAAATGTGGGATCAAATAACGAATCGAACTTCGGTGTGGTTTGAAACTGAACACACTAAAATGTGTTGGCCGAGAGTCAGTCTTATTGCAGCACTGAATCACTTATACACTTCAAGCATGGCCGAAGCCACCGACTTGTTGGGAGGCTGGTCCAGATTCTATGTATTCTAGTTGCAAACTATACAAGTGTATTGAAAACTGACACTAGTGCTCAAAAAGAACCACAATTACAAACAGTTTTATTTGGGAAGTACAA